CCCCAAAACCCCAAAACCCCAAAACCCCAAAACCCCAAAACCCCAAAACCCCAAAACCCCTTCGAAGGTTTTATTATTTGAATCAAATAAAGAAGGAATAAAAATATTTAAATAAATCATGGCTCTAAACGAAAGAACCCATCTACTCCAGATCACTACTGGGGATATCACCAATGCACCTCGTATTTTGAAGAATGCTCAGCATGATGGACAACCCATCGTAGTAGTTATTGAGAACGGCTTCTGTTGTTGCAAACCAAAGTTAGATGTGCCTTCAGGCGTAACTGTTCTTTCACAGAAGTGGGGAGCCCATGATGGTGAATTAGCGCCAGGATTCAAATGTTGTTGGTGAAAACATAAGAAAATTGCAGCCATTATTACAATGAACTCTATAAGATATGATGCTCCTATTAAAAACTGTCCTACCAAAGACAACGTCAGAGTCTGGGTTGATATAAGTTTGACTTTCAGGATTGGACCTGGCCATGATGAATGCATGAAGTTCATCTATGAACTCGGCCCAGCTAAGTTAGACCAGATGCTTGAAGCTGAAAGCGAAGAAGCTATCAGGAACTTTGTTTATGGAGTAAAGCTTGCTCAGATTCAAGATATTAAAGGAGAGATCGCTAGCACCCTCTTGCAAGATTTAAACAGGAAGTTTGTTGAATTTGGCGTCTACTTTGAAAATGTGCATATTTTACAAATCAAGATTCCAGACCAGCTGCAGAAAACTCTTTCAGATACGACTGCATTTGATATTAAACTTCAAAATCAGATTAAGAAGCATCAGAACGCAATGCTTGTGCTTGAAAACGACCAGAATCAGAAACTGACTGAGCTTCAAAGGAAGAACGGCATCAAAATTGAAGAGCTAAAGGCTGCTAATGAAAGAGCTCTCATTTCCAGAGAAGAGAAAAAAGTTAACGCTCTTTCAGATTACGAAGTTCGGATGACCGACGCTAAATCGAAGGCTTCTGTTCTCATGACTAAAGTAAATGGAGAAAAAGATATCATAGAGAATGAAAGCAAGAAGGAAGTTCTTGAAATGGTAAACCAGGCTAAGACCCAGTGAGCCGAAAAGAAAAGAAAAGCCGACCATGAAGCAACTGTTCTCACCATCAAAGCTGACTCCCAATATGAAGCTGCTAAGGCTAAATACGAAGCAGCATTAATAGAAGCTCAAGCAGAAGCAGATAACAAAGAAGGTCTTTCAAAACTAAGAACCCACGAGCTATCAATGGCTAGAGCTGAGGTTATGCAAGAACTTGCAAGGAACTCAGACATTGTTTTTGGAGGAAAGAGTGGAGAAGCCCTCCTCGGAGAGTTCTTGCCCTAATATATTCAATAAATTGGGTTAGAAAAGGGGTTTTGGGGTTTTGGGGTTTTGGGGTTTTGGGG